CAAATTTGAAGCTTAGAGTCAGCACTTCTTGACCAACTGACCCAAACCCGTACTTCAGTTTTATGTTCGCATATTTTGCTTAAGTTTTGTTAATTTGCTGTGAAAGTTTCATTAAAATATTTACTTGCTGTGTTTATATTAGAAAGAATTCATAAACTAACTGTAGATTGACTGAATTAATTAATTTTATTTTCATTTTTAATTATTAAATTTCAATACTATAAATAAATATAATAAATATAAATTTGAAAATAAAAATTTCAAATCATTTTAATTTTGCTGCTCATAAAGTTAGATAAAAAAGCCTCTCTTGCTTATGGAGACATCATGCAAAAAAATATACTAACTTTGTACGTAATTCTTATATCGTTTTTTTTTCAACTAATTTTTAATTATCATTCTCTTAATCATCTTATTAAATTATCATTATCTTAATTACTTTTAATCGATTTAGTTTTAACAAAGTTTGATTGATTTTATTTATTTTATTTCATCTCTTTTATGCATCATCTATAGAACCTCTGACTTAATACACAGAAGCAAATCAAAGATACCTTTGAAGTTAATATCTGCCTTTATGGGGTACTGGACCATAGAATGCCATGGGGCTAGGCTTAGCCTACCCTGTGGTATATCCTGCAATGGAGTATCTACCAGCCGTTGAAGAAAGAACATCAGAACACCTGATGTCTCTATGTCCAGATTTGGCCAGAACTAAGCTTGAGTTTTAGGGGGCACTCTTCTTCACCACACTCGGCGATATCTCTAGCATTAGCATTGGCCAGATTCTTGCCTTTATAAATGCCTCTGGCTGGTTCTAGCTTGACCTTTTCTCTACTACCCACTATTACGAGGATTTCAGCTTTCTAAGTTGATTGATAAGGATTCGTTCCTCTCTATACTACAAGTAACTAACTATACATCAACTAAAATCTATCAAGACTAATATTACTGAAGAATTTGTTATTATGTAAAAAAAAAGTTTTGTGTCTCTTAAAACAATATTTTTCGAAAAAACAAGTATAATGTTTTTAAAACAACTAGTGTAAGTAATAAAATAAGTAACTACATAAAATGTTCCAACTTCTACAAGCTTCCAACAAAAATATATCAATATATCCCATAATCTTTGTACTGTATTTATACACTATATAACATCAACTACATTTCAGAGCTCTCCATAATGCGTGCACCATTGCGTAATAATCATTCTGCCGACATTATTTGTTTCTTTGTTTCTTTGAATACTTAATTTGAACTATTTAAATGGTAATTAAAACTTTTAGTATGTAAATTAAAAATAAATATGAAAACTGTTATTCGTGATCTTATTTAAGTTAAAAATATATATAAGAGGTTGCAACATTCACAAAGTATATCGCTAGTCTCACCCACGCGTAAGCGTTTTAACCCCACCTCCTTCACCACCAGCCTATCTCCCTAATTTACGCCCCTGCTTCCTGGCTGAGAAGAACCCAGCTCGCTAGGTATTTAGCCTAACTGTTCACATCTCTCTCCTCTGATTAATGGAATGAAGTTTCCTCAATGCTGTGGAAAAAATCACTCATTCCTAAGAGGTGGTTTTAGCGGGTTTAAGTCTCACACAAGTCTCGATGTTTTCCACCTACTGCAGAAAAAGAAAAAAAGGCAGATCTCTATCGTTTTAGTTCAATTAAATTATTAGAGAGAAATGTACGGGGATGTATTCAACCAAATGCCTTGCGAAATTGTGTGCAAACATGATTTATATCAAACGAATTTACTATTTCCATTTGAATGCCATTTGGCATTATTCATATCCTTTCGTCTTTTCGCTATATCTCCCTTGTACGTTTGGCTATTGTTGCGGGTTTAGTCATAATACAAACAGCAGAAATACCTAAAACAAATGAAGAATTATAGAACGAAAAATGGTGTACTCATATCCGGAAAAAAAAATAGGTGAACGAATTAAATATTTCAACTGATTTTCCATGCTGTTAAACAAATTTATTAATGTGATTAGTTATCATCTAACGAGTTTCCACATACATATGTTTTATATATGCAAAAAGAATCAGTTAAGGAGCATAAGAGGACAGGGAGTTTGTACAATGAGTCGTTTCAACTATTCATCCCTTGCTACATACACTAATATATTTTAATTTACCGAATACCCATGAGAATACGAATAAAATGTACTTTTTTTTTAAATATTAAAAAAAATTAGTTCTGATTGCTTAGTCCATATGAGTTTTATCGTTTGAAAAAAGTATTATAGTTGTAACTCTTGGATAGATTGGCAATTGGACAAGCAGACATGTAGGTAGACGTTCTCAGACGCACTCGTTTCGTTGCACAGATCCAGAATATACTCGTATATCGTATATTAGAGTGTGTACGTTGGCGCATCTTTACGTCATTAACTGTTTTATAAAGTATTTGTAAAATTTAATAGCAATAATTTATGCTAGGGACTAAATTTGCAGACGGCTACCATAGTCAGCTTTACCTTGCTATGGTACAACAGTGTACCATTGGGGTTAAAAGAATCTCAAGACAACCGATATCCTACCGCATTAAGCTAGCTAAAACGATTCCTGTTATATTTCTATGTCAGTTAATAAATTGTTGGCTTAAGTACAATTGTGAATCAAAATGTTTACAAGTCCTTTTAATTTTGGTGTGATTGGAAGTGATTGGCTTAAAGAAGTGAAAGAACTTAAAAAGCAGTTTTGTTATGAGTTGACTTTGGCGTTGTTCGTACACTGATCACTGTGAAACTTTCGAAAACAAGAGTCCTAAACGATCAAAATCACTTTTAATGCAACAAATTTTTGTACCGGACATCTTAGCAATTCAAATATAATTAATTTTTAATTTAAATCTAAAAACAATTACTTACTTACTTATTTAGCCATAACAACCCGTTACCGAGCTTTGGCCTAACATAGCATGTCTGTGCTCCAGTCTCGTAGACCAAATCTAGTTAGTGCGCCCTTAACTTGATCCATTGATCACTCCAACAGAGACACGGTCTTCCTCCGCCAGCTACTGTTTCAAACACCTTTTTCGCTGGAGCATCTTCATTCATTCTTACGACATGACCAAGCCAACGAAGTCGCTGGATGTTAATTCGCTGATTTATATAATAATAATAATCTCAAAAAAAATACTCAATAAAAAAATGTGAAATGAATTTGTCGCACATCGAAAAAAGCTTAATATTATTTTTATGCTTTAGCAAATCAAACACACCCTCGTCCCCAGAGTAGCGCACAATAAAATGTTAACAAGCACAATCAACAAATATTTAATATTCTAATAGGAGGCGAAGCTTGGCATGGCAAGTTCTGTAGGACTTGTATTCGCCACCTAGACAGCCACTTAACATAAAATTTTGGCGGAACAATGGTGCTTTGAAATTATTCACTCGTAAAGTTCACTAAAGTAAAAATCGCAATAAAAAATGATAAAATAAAAATCAAAAACAAAAACAAAAACAAAAATGTAAGCAAATAATAAGTTTCCCAAAAAAAAAATAAAAAACAACAACAAAAAAACAGAAAACAGTGAAGTCAAAAAAATATTCCTCTGAAAACTATTTAAATATGTATGCCCAAGATTTTGCATGTCGATATGTTGAAACACACACATACACACACACACCCATATATGCACAGCACATATAAATACATATGGAAAGTATGGAAACAATGGTAAAAGTTTATGCATGCATACTTAGTTTTGTTTTTATTGTTTTTGTTTTAAATTTTAGTGTTGTTGTGTGTTGTTCTTGTTGTTGTTGTTGTTTTCTTGTTAAGTTTGCTTTTTTCCAAAAGTGCACAAATTAAAGCTCATAAATTATTAACAAAGTCATTATCAACACGCACACAAGCCCAATCTAAGCACTTCAAACAAATTCCCATACACGTACACACATAGGCATATTAAGGGAGTATTTACATGCACGTAACAATGTGCATGTGTGTGATATCATAAAGAGGCAAAATGTATAACAAAACAAAATATTATTTTGTAGTTATTTTTTGTTCGTGCTAGGCAAGCTCCAACTTCAGCTCCAGCTTCGGCTTCAGCTTCGGCTTCAGCTTTTTGCTTTAGGGACAGCGTCGGCAACTGATTTCAATTGCGTCGGCAGCGCAGCTTCGGTTACTGTCTGTTTTTTAGACGTAGAGTGTACGGCGTTGAGGAAATTGTGCACGCTTGGCGGCAGGCAGAAGTGTCCTTACTTAAACCAACCGTAAAGGATTTTGTGCATATGTAAAATTTTATGTGCATAAGTATTTTTAAGCGTGAAAGCACTAAAAAACGTTGCCCCAACGAATTAAAAACGAAAGTTAAGTGAAATATATTGTAACGTTTCTCGTTGCGCATAAAATATGCGACTAAGTTTATTAAGCGTATCAAATAAAAATGTTTAAAAGGCAAAGAGCGTACACATTTCGCATTCACATTTCACATTATACATTTCAGCCTGATTATAATTTTTCTAATTTACAACGGAGCATAAACAAAATCCAACGAAATTCAAAGAGAAGCACAAAAATTCAACTCCATAGAAGGTCCTCGCTGACTAAGGGCAAATTCGCAATAAAATTTATATGCAAATAAAAAGGTTTGAATAATGTAAGCTGCGGGCATAATTAGTACCAACTCCATGACAAAAATGCGGACCAAGTGTTAAGGGTCAAACTATTTCTGGGATTTGGCCATTAACAAACATATAGTTTAATCTAAAAATTATGAGCAGCAGAATTCGGTTACTTTACGGTTTTAAATATATATTATATATGTAATTAGAAATTAGCATATAACTTATACCAAATAGTAAATAGATGAATCTGTCTGTATACGATAAAGTAATATGAAAGCATATTTAGTTGAAGTTTTCCATATTAATATACATACAATATATTTAAGCACAATTCTAAGAAATGACTTCTTGCATAGAGCTTACTCTTAAATAGTCCATTTTTAACTAACTTATAACTACAATCTACACATATATATACATAGGTTCCACTCGTACCCAACATTTTATTAAATTACTACTCTCCACGGAAATATTTAGTAAAAGGCGAAAGATTTATTCGACAACTGAAGAGAAGCCCCTGATTACTAAAATGAAGTTTCCTCTCTCCAACATTTCTTAATGGCTTAGACATATATATAGTCAAACCTCAATATAACGAACCTCCCTATAACGAATTCCTCTCTATAATAAAGTTTTGTTCAAAACACGATTTTTATATTTTTTTCATATATGGTATTTAAACCTCTCTATAGAGAATTCCTCTCCATCACGAAGTTTTTTCAAATGCAAATTTAACATTCAACTAACACGTTTTAACTTACGAGAAACTTCTTTGCAAGCTGTATCATACTCGATATGAGCTTGTGCATATATAATTTAGTTTATAGTAGGGGAGGCTGGAGGTTAACTTTTTTGGCTCACCGAGTGAAATAATGAAAGGAAGGAAGAACATCATCTGTATTTCTTGAATGTTAAAATTTTAAATTAAAGAGTGATCACCAAACATATATGCGTGCTCTCGCTTTTAATACGAATAGTAGAGAATTTTTAGAAAGTTTTAGAAATTTTTGAGTCCATTAACTTATTGGTAGAGTTACTTGACAAGGAAAAAGTTAAAATGTCGAAACAAGCAAAAATAACAAACTTTTTTCGAATTTAATAAGATAAGAAATGCTAAAAATTTAAATTCTATACAATAAAAAATTAAACAGTAATAATAAAATAAAAATAATTATTTCTAAATACGCACCAATATATGATTAATGTTTTTAGTATTACGTATGTTTATATCTAAGAATAAATATAAATTTAACATATTTTTAAAATAAATACGTAAATTAGTTAAAATGAATACGTACATACGTATGTTAGCATCTCTATAACGAAGATCCCTCTATAGCGAAGTTTTTTTGCAGGCACCAATGACTTGGTTTTGAGAAGATTGGTTCTACTTCATATATATTAACCCCTGTGATAATTTCCTTTACTTCATTTTTTTAAATATCGACTCTGTGGATATCTGTGAAATCTACTTGTGAGATCTGAAAATTTCAAGATTTTAACTGACATACGTAAATATCGTGGAAGAAGTTGATGTTTTGCATATAAACTCGAGGAATGGTAAGAGAATCGCTACACTTAGTAAAAGAAATGACGTGTTACTCGCTTTAACACCAGTCACAAATCAAGTTCTTAATCGTCCTTTGTTTAACATTTTCTACTCACTTCCGTCCAATATAACCCATTAGACGCTATGTCATTAGACGCTACGTAATAAATCTGATTTGAATAATCGATGTTGTTGTTGTTGTCGTAGATTGTAAATATGAATGAGGAAGATAGCACGAAACTGTCAAGTAACGATAGTGCAGATAATATGAGATTACAACATATAAGATGATGGATTCTGACTCTTGACTGTGAAAACCTAAAGTTCTAAAGATTATTAAATGTTAAAAGTTATTATTTTTTGATTATTATGAATAATATGTTATTGTAATAAACTAGTATTGTATCAAATATTTGATAACCTATTAGATAATCAGACAATCTATTAACATAACAACTATTTCTCATGAATATTCTTGCAATATACTTAAAAATTATGACATGTTGAGGAGTTACCTACCATGTAATCTTGAATTTGAAAAAATTGGTGAGTAAACTAAAACAAAGAGTATTTAGAAGCATAACCGAAGGAGTAAGGCGAAATTATGCAAATGATTAGGATGCATCCCTGCACTTATGCCTGCAGTTGGCAACAAGCAAAGGATGTGCTCTCGTCTGAAATGTACTGAGCTGAGCTGAATACATAAATAGCAAGAAATGAAAGCTGAGTAAATATTATTATATTCGCAGAGAAAATGGAGGTGGATGATGGTGAAGAAGAATGAAGAGGGGAGAGAATAGATAGAGTATAAAGAAAAATGCATTTATAAAAAAACTGCATGAAAAACTCATTTTCAATTTGTTCATTGGTACTTTTCATCAGAGTTCTTGGCTTGTTTTTAAAATATTTGGCAGGACAAGCAAAATGTCCTTGAAACTTTTACGCTGCTTGCTATTATTTGCTAAGGAAATGCAATTTTCTTCTTATTCTCGTGTATGCACTTTTCCTTCTTTATTATTTTAGTTTCATGTTTTGGAGGCCAAAACTAGCAAACAAACCAAACAACAATTCAGCAAAGAACACTAAAGGACACATTCAGACAAAGTGTTGAAGGATTAAGTTATGTTTCTCATTTTTGAAGTGGAGCAAGTTGTGTTTGAGGGAAGGAATTTTGAGTGCAACTGTGCCAAAAAAAATAAATATATAATAAATACATGAAATATATGTAACAGAACGAATATACAACCTTTATACAACAACGATTACACGTAATTGTAGAAATGTACATATAAATGCATAAGCGATTTATTTAAAATATTCAATATCACATCTACTTATGAAGAGATCACACCTTAGATTGTTAGTTTGCTTCGAAATAGTTAGACAGGCGGACAGACGAAGGTCGCTGGGTCATTTCACTTTGATGTGCTGATCAATAATATTAAGACTTATTATTAGAAGGACTAAAAAAATACACCAGGACACCTCATCAGATACAGGTTGGTCATTGAGGCTTGGTAAAAAGTGCTGGACAGACTGTTTCCGGTGGCCTCCTTTACCGCATTGTGAATATCTCAATGCACTTAATGTATCTTCTACACATTTGGGGTGTGAAAGATAAAAAATTGTTAACTTTGGGGCCATTGGTACTAATTTCAAAAATAAAAAAAAAAGTGTCATGCATTCCCTTCATTGAAATTTGTCATTTATTCCATTACTTAGACTTTAGACTTGAGATATTTCTATCTTTGAAACGAGTTTCATTTTAATTTTATGTGGAATTTCTTATTATATGTCGATAAAAATTCAAATTTCAGGTTAACTGTATTTAGCGAATCCTACTGATATTAATTATAAACTTCTTTAAATGGAAATGTCAATGACTATCATCTATGGATCAGTTTTTGTGGAAATTATTAATTATTGGAGCTTTTTGACTAAGTTTTTTAACTTAATGTATATCCACTCCAACGTGTTCACTCAAGACGTCGTATATAAAACGAATATGTCATATGAAGAAAGGCTGATGGTTCTATTTAAAGTAACGTTTTGTGATGTGATTGATTGCTTGAAGAAAATGTCATCTTAGTTTGAAATAATTATACTGGGCAGATAGTATAGAATTTTTGAATCATCTCTAACTATGAACTGATTTCGATAATTTGATTTCCTGCGGGCTGAGATTTTACAACTAATTTAGGTGAACAGACATAAGACAAGGTGCTACCTTTTATTTCACTTCCCAGTTGCTGAAGCATATTATTACAGAACGTCAAGTGTCTCGAAGTGAGTTCTTCGACCGCTGATTGGTTATTTGTGCTAATACTTATACGTCTGCTTTTTAATCCTTTATATCATGATATAAAGACAGCAGGTATATATTTGGAGCACGATATTTTGAAAGTGCAAAGCATACTTAGTGTCAGTGCGATACATGTATTGGGGCTGAAGACTCCTAGAAAAACGATCAGTGTATCACAAGACCAGTTTCGGCTTAAAAGTGACTTAATTGGAAATGTACACCCTATTGCTCTATTCAAGACTGTTCGATTGAGAAAGCACAATATTAGGAAGCATATTATATAAGAAATGTGAACAGAAGAACTGTGGCTTATTTAATTCGAATTAAACATGTTGTTTAACCACTACGACTCAGTTGGTTGAGTAACACTTTAATAACACTATATCTCTACAGTTTTAATAGAACGACACACCCTGTATAGTAGTTGAATCCTTTCCGATGTAGTTGCATATTTTGTATCTTTGAGTGTTAAAACGAATACAACTGTCAAACTATAAATTCACAGTGGAAAACAAAGGAAGCCAAAAACGTAAACTGTCTGTGGTGTTTGCATCTGCAAGCAAACATTTTGGTGCCCCATTAAAATACCAAATTTTACGTTATTGTTGGTTGCAGCAGCGATGTAATTTAGAGCAGATAACCCTTTACGGCCCTGTGAACGTGCAACTTTGTGCTTGCTCAAGTAAATTGAAGCAATGTAGCTAAATATGCTTCGAAATGTTGTCGAAATAGTTGAGGTTTGTAAATGAACCCACACGTAACTTTATCGCTTTGCACGGTTAGTTAGTCAAAGTAGGAAGTGCTGTTATAAAATGGATCTTATTTTATAACATTTTTCGGTATAATGCGACCAATTAAATTTGTTAACAAAATTAAAGAAAGTATAATCGCAACAGACACTAATTACCATTATTACTGAAGTTCATGGAATGGACTTCTATGGCATCATAAACCTCATACCTTATAAAAATCCCATATACAACATAATGAATCTAAGAACATTTTAAAGTAATAATTAATTAAGAAAGTAATTCCTAATAACTTAGAATAGTTTAAGAAACGATTCTAACTGATCTGCAATTCAAGGAAATATTGTATTATTGAAATGATTTTTTTTTATTTTTGCAGTGCTTTTTGAGGCATATTTTAAGCATATTGTAGAAAAAATTAAACAAGACAACCGTACGAACCAAGAGCATGATGAATTATATTCCTTCCTGATTTTTTACTTACAATTTAATTTTAATTTTCGTCAAAGTATCCTTTAAATTCTCTACTCTTGTTGCAATCTACTCCACTCTTAAATATATTTTGAAAAATATGTTTCCACAAAACTTCATTAGCTGAAAACCTTACATATAAATCCTATCAAGATTGCCATCTTCCATCTGAAGATGAAAATCGTTTAAAATGATAATTGAATACCGCTTACAGCATTATAATATAAGTAAAAGCTGACTGCTACAAAACCCGCGAAAAATTCCTTCAGAAAAAAATGCTGCTGGAAACTTCAAACTCATAAGGCACACCAGAAATGTGCTACATTCAAGCAATATCTTAGTTTTTTCATGAAAAAAAAACATGCAAAATATCTTAGTTTTTTCATGAAAATATATGTCAAAATTTTTTTTCTTGTCATGCAATTTCAAACATTACCTGTCTGACAGAATGC